TCTCAGGATCAGACGTCTCCTACTTCCCCTGGCTCACGGCTGCTGAATCAGCACCCCACCCAGCCCAAGCTCCCTGTCACCTACCCTTCCTGCCACCCACTCCGGCCTGCTCCAGGACGCCATCCAGTGGAGGGAGTGGCAGGGACGGCCCCTCTGAGCCCAGTTTCCGGGACCTGGCTTGCGGTGTCTGCTCCCTGCCCCTGAGTCCCCAGCTGCAGAGAAGGGAAGAGAGCGTGAGCTCTGGGCTCCAGCCCTTCCCCGCCTTTCGCTCTGCTCAGACGACTCAGCCTGCCAGGGGCCAGGGCGGAGGGCTCCTGCCCAGCGGTGGGAGGGAGGGGGCCGCGCTGGGCAGTTGTCCTGACACCTGGCATACCTGTGCCTGCCCTCTTCCCCCGCCCCCAAGCAATGCCGCTTCTTCAGCAGACACAGGTCACATCTCCAAAGTGGGGGACACACCCCGCTGCCAACGGAAGCCCTGGCAGCGACTTCCCATAACTGTACCCCTACACGCTGGCCCTTGATCCCACCCTTCGTCCCACCCCAGCCTGACCCCCAGTCACCCAGCCTGGCGTCCAGGCCCCTGGGGCCCTCCAGAGAAGGGGATGAGAGGCGGAAGTGAGCACACAGGAGGGCTAAAGGAGGGAGCTGGGGGCGCCCCACCAGGTCTGCGCTCTGCAGAGAGTGGGGGCCATGCCTGCTCTGTCCCTTCGGTAGATGACCACAGACTCCGGAACCCCTCCACCCCTCCAGCCAGGCGCTCGGCAGATGGTCATCCCTGGGCAGGTGTCTTACCAGCACTGGTCTGTGTTGGCATTTGTCAAAGGGTTTCAAGTGGAGATGAGATGATATCATGCTTTCTTCCCAGCACATAGTAGATGCTCAACAGATGGTCCCTTAAGCTAGATGGGAAGCCACCTTCCTCCTACCATTCCAGCCCCTGACAGGCACCCAAAGGCCACCACCACAGATTTTATCACGTGGATGAAAATCTCAGGTTCCAGGCAGATGAGAGTGAACAGACCATTCCTTCCTCTCCTGGGGTCAGGGGGTGACTTCAGGGGGACTCTGGGAGACCAGTCACATCAGGCTTCTTCCTCATCTCCTTCTCCTTCCAGCTCCTCCTCTGCCGGAGTGCCTGGCACAGTTGTGGAGCTGGAAGGGCCTTAGAGGCCACAGAGTCTAACCCTGACCTGGGGCAGGCGTCCCAATCCTCATGTCCTCAAGTTACTCTCTCCTCCCCTGGGACAGCCAGCCCTTCAGAGAGCAGGCGGGAGGGAGGGTGGCCTCTCTAACGTGTCCTTCTGAAGGATGAACACCTGAGTTTCTTAGGGCTTTTTTCTTTCTGTGACTTGCTTCTGTTTCATCTGTAAAATGGGGATACTAAAAGTACCTACCACCAAGAATTGTTTGTGAAGCTTAAAGGAGTTACTCTAAAGAACTTGGAATAGTGCCTGGCACATAATAAGTGCTCAATAAATACCATTCCTATACTGAGGGATGAAATGTTATTCCTATACGGAGCCCACCTTCCTGTGGAAGTACTCATAGTTCTTGAAGTCCTTCTGAGTGAGGACCCAGAACTCTGACAGGTCCTAATAAGGCCCCTTGATCAGTGTTGAGTTCAGGACACTGCTGTAAAGTCCGTATAGCCCAGCACCGCCATTATTGTATGTGTGACTGTGGGCAAGGTATCTAACCTCTCTGTGCCTCAGCTTCCTCTTGTCTACAACATGGGGGGAACAGTAGTACCTACCACTCTTAGTGGTGAAGCTCGTACAACAGTACCTGGCACATAGTAGGTGCTCAATAAATAGGAGCTATATTTATTTGGACACTAGGCTTTGAATAAGATAATCTCACTTTCTCACTTTGTTTTTTCTCTTTCTTTCCTTTCCTCTCTCTTCCTTTTCTTTAGCAGCCACGTTATTCTAGTGCATTAACTTAGCTTGTGATCAATTCCTCTCGCTCCGTATCTTTTTTAAATGAATGCTCTAATAGCTCTGGATGACAGAGCCTCTTTCTCCTTCTTCTGCTTCCTCTTCTACAGACTCCTTTCTTCTACCATCAGAACCTTTGTACAGGGTGCCCGGCTACATGTGGCACCAGGCTGGGCAGTGCCGTGGGCAGAGAGACCCGGGTATGAGTTCTTCCTCCACCATTTAATATCTGTGTGATGCAGGATGAGTCACTTCAGTCCTCTAACCTCGTTTTCCTCGTCTATAAAATGGGATTTACAATCTTCCCCTCAAGGCTGCAGTGAGGATTAAAAGTTAAGTGCCAATAGTACGATGCCCTTTCTTATCCCCAAAGTTATGGGTAAAGGCCAAACATATAGACTGGGTAAAGATCTTTCGAAGCAGATTTGAAAAAGTATCTCTTCTCCCTCCCTTCCTTACCCCAACAGGGTTCCCAGGAAACCTGAGGCCCTGAAATGTCCTATCTTGGGTTATGCCTTCTTTCAGGTTCACCCGGCCTGGAGGTACTGGAGGCTGGGTCCTCCCAGTCCTGAAACTCAGATCCTGAGCCTTTCAGACAAATAGGAAACCATTGCTCCCATTCTTCAGGTGAAGCCACGGAGGCCGGTGCCTTACCCGATGTTGCACAGCTGGACAGTGAAGGAAGAAGGAGCACACTCCTCTGGACTTCTTGGGGACTGGCCACCCACCCCAGCCTGTCCTCAAGGTTCTTGGCCCCCTGGGAGCATCTGAGAAACAGAGGGTGCTGTCGCCCAGGGCACAGGAGCAATCCCTGTCCACCTTGAGGATCCCCACCACTTCCTTGCCCTTCAGGTCTTTCTGCTCTGCCCATTCTGTCCAAGCCCTGGCCTGGACACTTATCTTTAGGGGAGCTGCTCCCCATCCTACCCCACCCCCAACAGCTGTGGCCTAGGGAGTCTCTAAACAGAAAGCCCCACCATCCTGGAAACCTATTTCCCTCTAAAAAGTTGAGTACTAGCAGCTGAGTACTAGGAGGGCGGTGGGTTTGAGAAGGTCGTTGCAGGGAGAAGAGCTTCCTGTGCCAACTGGAATGAGTGTGGACACCTGCTCAGGGACAGGTCTACAGAGAGCAGGGAGAATGTAGAGGGTGATATTCAAGTTTTCCAAGGAGCAGTGAAGGAGGTCATAGAAGGACTGCCTTTCTCCTTGGAGGTTTAATGTCCTGGCATCCTTCCTGGTCCCAGGAGCTCGGTGAGTGTCGATGGAATGCACGAGTGTAGACTGCAGAATGCATGGAACGTAGACCGTGCTGGCCTCTCACGTGAGATTCTCTCAGCACAGCTGGAGCAGTGTTGGGAGATGCCTGAGAAAGTGGCAGGCGCCTGAGTGAAGGCCTGGCATAAAGCTGCAGAGCCCCGTGGGGTACCTCCACGGGGAGGGGAAGCCAAGCGTCTCTGACAGGAGACCCGGTCTCTCCCTGGTAACGCACGCACATCTTTGGGGTGAGGAAGGCTGCTGGTACAGCCACCATCTTGAAAAGGCTCGGGATCCACAGGGAAGTGTCAGGGGGTCTCAGCATGGTGGCAGTATGGTCCCTAGAAAGCAAACCCCCAGCACACTGCCAGAGTTTTCAGCATCTGTTTGGTGGGGGGATACGGAAGGGTAGGGGAGGAGGGGCTGTCCCCTTGAAGAGTGAGGCCAGGGAGGCTGCAGAGAGGCTGAGGTCTAGACCAGGGTAGGGTCTCTACCTGGGAGCCAGGAGGGGGCCCTCCCTCTCCTCAGCCAGCCTCTGAGGAAAACTGCCTTCAAAATGCTTTAAAACAGTCCTTAGTGAGCTCTCCCTGAGGAAGGCCAGGGAAGTGTTGTTATCTGCACTTATAAATGATAAGTGGGGGTTCCAATGTCTGACTCACGCCCACAGAACGAGTAGGGCAGCATGGTCAAGGAGAGGCCAGGAGCACTAAGCAGACACACTCCCAACACCAAGACTCGTCGAGGGCCCAGAAGGGACTCGGACCCGAGCCAGGAAACCTGGGCCTTTGCGTGTGCTCTGCCAGGGGCTCCCTGCAGGTCCTCGGGCCAGTCACTGCACCACCTATGGGACAGGCCTGGACCAGAACTTTCTCATTCTGATAGTTGACCTTTTCCTCTAGAGACTCCAAGAAATGGAGTTTCTTGCCGAGGAGGGGCTGGGGGCACACTGAGGAACTGCAGCTTTCTGGCTAGCGTCCTGCACCCAGGGCGGGGGACGGTGAGGGCTTCTCCAGCTCAAGGTGGAGATCCGGTCAGTCTCCACAGAGTCAGGAAGGTGTTGAAGCCCCTTGGGAAAGGTGGCAAGCTGTCTGGCGGCAGCCAACTAATATCTGACCTTGGCCGCGTGTTCCCTGTGCAGCCCCTCCCCTTTACACACAGGAGAAGAGGCCAGAGAGGGAGAGGGGTTTGTCCCAACCCTAATCCCTAGGGTTGTTACAGGGATTGAATAAGTGTTTCTATCACACTTAGGCACTGCCTGGTACCAACCACTGCGCTTTATGTGTTTAAGTAAGAATACCGGAGTGTCTGACCTAAAACTCGAGGCAAACTCAGGTTGGCCTTTCAGGTTTAGAAAACAAAAGCTGACCTGAACCTTGAGTCCAGGAGTGCTGGGCCCCAGGGTGCCTGATTCTGGGGATCTGGGGTGGGACTGAGAGCTGGCACGTCCTACCAGCTCCCTGGCGATGTCAGTGCTGCCGGCCCAGAGACCTGTCTTTGAGACCCACGGACTCTGAGGAAGGAATTGCCAAGGGAGTAATTCCTGGCATCGGTGAGGGGAAAACGGGGAGACAACAGGTTCCTTCACCCTTTCCCAGGTGCACGGGCCTCCCTCCCCAGGGCTGCTGTTGTCTGCAGCAGCAGAGCTTCAGCGCATGCGTCAGTTCCACCTGTGCCCATCTGTGACTCCACTCCGTGTGGCCTCAGTCTAGCTTTCACCCAGAGGGGCACCCCGCCTCTCCTCAGGTGGGTGGGATTGACCCCCAGGCTGCAGGAGGCCTGCGTGGTGAGAGTGAGTCGCACACCGACTGGGCAGGTGAAACCAGTGCATTCTTTATTGCAGACTGAAGCTAAGGGCTCACACTGCAGGCTCCAACCGGGGCCTCTCTGCTGGCCCAAGCTTCCCCACAGAGGCCAGGGCAAACCCCCAAGCAGAGCAGAAAACAGCTTCCAGAAACAGCCCCTTCTAAGGGCCTGAGATGAGGACCTGGGGAAGCAGCAGCTTGGTATCTGGGGTTAACCAGAAAGAGGCAGGCCAGAGAGCCAGGCAAACCTGGCCCTCATTTCCTGGTGACTCCAGGTCACTCCTTTAGCTGGGGGTATCACACAGACTGAAAAGATCTAAGAGGCCTGGGGGGGTGGAGGGAGATGCTGCTTTATGGAGCACGATGGGCAGACTTGGTGTTGGGGGAAAGCTGAGAAACCCCACTCTTCACTCCCAGGACACCCCCAGGGCCACCCCAGACCCTGGCTTCTCAAACAGTAAAGTGCTTGTAGGAATCCCCTGGGGATCTTTTGGACAGCAGGCTCTGATTTTGGAAATCTGGGATGGACTTGGGGCCCTGCACTTCTAACAAGCTCCCAAGGAGGCAGAGGCTGCTGGCCCACAGACTACACTGAGTTGCAAGGATTCGGCCACGCAATGCCTTTTTGTATATCAGGAAAATGCACCCCTTCTTCAAAAAGGAGAACCCCACTCCAAGACACAGGTTGAGTGGGTGGGGCCAGACCAGGCTGGGCTAGACTGCAGCCCTTCTTTGCGCCCCCTGAAGTTGGTAGCCCTAGAGGTCTCACCGGGCTTCCTCACCCTGAAAACCCTTTTCCCAGAGAGTGACCGACCAGGCCTGGGAGATGAGCAGAGTGAACAAGGCAATGACTAGGACACCAGGTTCTCAAGTACCTGGTCACAACCTACCAATCTGTCAGCTTCTGGCCGACAGACAGGAGGCCTGGGCGGGGCAGCCTCGGGCTGGGGAAAGGGAAGGAAATGGGAGTGTTCTGAGAATGGGCTAGTGCTGAGTGGTGGTCTGAAATCTGAACAGCTTACCCCTAGTTGTAGAAGAGTGGCCACTGGTTTGGGGGGGTGGAATCTGGGTGGCCTGCTTTGCCCCAAGTTGTGACACAGACAGAAGTCCAGACCAGGTGGGCTCTGATCTGCTTGCTCCACAGCTGAGATGGTGGGAGGTAGATACCCGCAGGGTCAGGAGGTCAGGGGTTCTCCGAACCACAGGTATTGTCACAGGAAGCAAGAGCTCTATGCCCTCACCTGGTAGAGCCACGGGTTGTCCCTGTTTGCTGGTCCTGTCCCTGTGTTAGCATTGCAAGTCCTGTGTCCTGAGCAAACAAGGATGGCAGGTCACCATCTTGCCTGACCAGACCCTCGACTCCAGGCTGAGAGCCTAGAAAGGACTAGGTTGTCAGGGATCTGGGTGGTGGCCCGGGAGCTGGCTGGCTACAAATCCAATGGTCCATAGTGCCTTCGTCTCCAGGCTAAGCAATGACAAGGAAGCCAGACCGCTGCCAGAGGGAGACGGTGTGGAGGGAGGCACAGGCGCACACGGCTTTGCTTCTGGGCCATTCTCCTGCAGCTCCAGGGGTGATGCAGGCATCGATGGTCACCCCCCAGGGAGGTGCACTCAGAACTTCCCGCCCCAGCAATTTCTTAATCCTGAGGAGGAACAGAGCCCACTTGATCTGCTCCCCAGTCTCCTGGCCTGATGGTCCTCGAGCTCCTTTGTAAACACCGTCAGCCCTGCTGCAGCATCCACACTCTCTCGGCAGCTTTCCCACAACTCCTGGTTCAGGCTCCCGCCAATCCAGGGATCCACGGGGCGGAGGGTGGGGTGCTGTGAAGGGCCTCCGCTGGCTGGTTCTCAGGAAGCAATAAATAGATGCATGTTGTCTTCTATTCCTCTCAGAGCAGTCACTGGCTCTCAGTGCTAGAAGCAAGGCCTCAATCCACAGGGGCCCAGAAAATGCTCAGCGATGCTCAGCTGTGAGCTCAGAAGGTACTGAGGATTTGAAGGTAACTTGGAGACCTGTGATTCCTAAAACCCTCCAAGGAGCCCAAAGGAGGCAAAGGCCCACGGCCACCTTTCCCCAAATTATAAGACTCAGAGAGGGTGGGGGTCTGTCCCAGTTTGCACAGAGACTAAGAACGCCCAGAGTCCAGGCTATAGCCCCCACTTTGCCTCCTCCCTCTGGGCATTCCACAGCCCCCTATTGCTCTAAGCTATCTATCCCAGACTGCTGCACTCCCTCCCACCACTGTTCAGCCCACCCATCCCCAGCCCCCCAAGCTTGGCTTCCCAAGGGCCCTGGGACTCCCTCCCCTCAGGGTGCCAGGCCAGGTAGCCTCTGTCCCTTGCTGGGTGGGCATGAGGAGCGAGGCCTAAGGTGGAGGGGCCCTGGCGCCCTCTGGAGACATGAGCATGTCAAACTTGATGAGTGGCGGGGCGATAACGCGCACCTCGGCGCTCAGCGGGTTGAAGCGGAGGTTGATGCTGCGCAAGGCAGGCATGGCGGCCAGCTTCTCCACGGGCACATCTGTGAGGGAGAGAGGGATAGATTAGGGGGCCTGGGGCCAGGAAGGATGATGGAACAGGAAGACATTGACACTCGGTGCAAGCAGCTCTCCATCACCCGCCACACCCGGGCTCAGCTCCTGGCGCCCAGCCCTGGGCATCACAACCACGTGCAGGAAAGAGTCCTAAAAATAGAGTTAAACATAGAGTTTCTTCATCCCAACAGTTCCACTCCTGGGTAGCACTGAGAGAATTGCAAACAGGTTCTCAGATACTCACAGATGCACACAGCGGCACTCCTCACAATGGCCACATATGCCCAGCAGATGAATGGAGAAACAAAACGTGGGAGCACACTGTAAGAGCATGCAAACATCCTGCTCCTCGTCCTCACTGAGCACCCATGGCCCCAGAGTTAGCATCCACTGATGGTTCCTGATCTGCCCTTCATGTTGGTTACAAAATGATAACTTTCCAACTCTAGCAATACTCCAAGCAACAGCCTTCCCTTCTCTGCCTTCTATCTCTATATTATCAATATGGACTCCTATGTTTCTTACAATTCATTACTGTGTTTAATTTAACCTTGGTGCTCAAATTGTCCCTGGTTTGGCCAGTAGGAGCGTCTTCCATCTGGCTCCGGCGACTTTGGACCTGCCCCGGCTGTTTCTGGACACACGTCCTTACTTTCCAATAAGGCCCATCTCGAGCCTTCACAGTCCTGGGATCAGCCACCAGGAAGTCCTGGTTCCTTTCGGTGGGGAAGGGAGTCAGTGGCCAATGCCAATGGTGTGATGACTAATCCACATTTTCCAGTTCACCCACAAGGCCCTGTGTATGTCTGAGCTGTGCGCTTTTGACTCCTGCCTAAACACCACGCAGTGTGCCACCCCTCTACCTCTCTGCTCTGCCGGCGATGGACAGACACCCCGGTGGCCTCCATCTGTCTTTAAGGGCTGGGTGATACAGCCTTTGGATGAATGCCCAGGAGCAGGGCTGAATGCTCCGGCAAAGGCTACGTGTGCATACTTGTCTCTCTGCTCTCTGGAACCACCGAGTCAGCCAGGAGCTCCAGTCACCAGGCTGCCCCAGGGCTTTCAAAGGAGGCTGCCTGGACCTTCCCACCCCCACCTCCAGGCTGACTGGACACTGAGCCCCTGACCTCTAGGGAGGGTTCTGCCTGGAAGAGGGTGAGGAGAACCCACGCTAGGCTGTGCTCTCTGCCCTTAGGAAAGAATCCCCACCACCCTGGCTTGGTAACTGGGATGTGCTTACCCCCCTAACTCTTCTGGGGAAATGGAAGGGGCGGTCACTAGCTCAGGACAGTTCCTTATATGTGCGTATCACTCCAGTTTATAAAGCGCTGCCATCCACTCCTCCCCACAGCCGTGGGGGTAGAGCAGCCTTCCTCAGCCCACCACAGCTCATCTGTAAAGTGCCCCTCCACCCACTTTACAGATGAAGAAACTGAGTTTCAGAAAAGACTGACACTGAAGGGCACACAGCTATTAAGCAGCAGAGCTGGCCCTGGTTCGCTGCCTGCTGCTTCACAGTAAGCTCCCCAATATCCCACCCAGCTGGGTCAGGTGGGGGTGGGGCAGGAGAAAGCAACCCAAGGGCTTCAACAGAATTGGCAGGGGACTCAGCACCCAGGGAGTTCCCAGGGGCCTCTTCGCCCCAGGGCTGCAGCCCAAGGTGTTCCCAGCAGGATGGGAGTTTTCAGGGATCTGGGCCTCCGGGATCTCTGAGTTGGGTCAGACTTTGTTGTTGATAGTGCTTTTTCGTCTGTCTGTCTAACATGTATTGAGTGCTTGCTGACTTAAGCTCTTTGAGTTTTTTAATCCTTGCAAAAGCCCTGTGAGTTGAGTACTATTATCTCCATTTTATAAATGAGGAAAATGAAGAGCAGAGAGGTTAGGTAACTTGCCCAAGGTCACACAGCTAGGAAGTGCTGCAACCAGAAAATGCGGACAGGCTGGCTGGCTGCAGCACCTGTGCCCCTCACACCGCCGCCCACGCATGCAGCCCTGCAGCCTGGCATGCCTCCCACTGACTAGCCATAAGGACCCTCCAAGAGGTCCCCTCAGTAATGCGAGAGAGAAAACTGTTTTCCGGCAGGGCTCCCTGGGGCCCAGGAGTGTCTGGCTTCCTTGACCAGGATGCTCCCCACTCTCCGGGCCCCCTAACTAGGAACCCCTCTCTCCTACCACCCAGCCCAGGGACCCCACCTCCAACAGAAGCAAAGGGCACACAGCAGGTGTCACGGAACATCTGAGCTCTCTGAGGTCCCCATGACAAGCATGCCCTTGCTGATCTGCTTTGAGGAAAAGGGCTTCCTAGAGAAAGTGTCAGACTGGTTCCAGAAACTCCCATGCCTCCCAATCCTGCTCTGGGTCACAATGCAGAACAGACCTGTCCCTTACTGTCCGTGACAACACTTGTGAAACTTATAGCCCAGCACCCGCCACCTCTATCTTCTTCAGGTGAACACCCTTCATTTCCTACGGTCCTAGGCAGGGAGAGGCGGCCAAGCTGCTGAACAGCGCTGGCTTTTCCAGTGGTTCACTGGGTCGCCCTAGGCAGTGTCTCTGAACATCAGCTTTCTCACCTGCAAAACAGGGGTCCCTCTGCCCCTCCCGCAGGGAGGCCATGAGAAATCACCAAGGTGACTGTATGTAGCACACCAGTGCAGGGCTCCAGCAGCACACATGTGACAAGCAGAGGGGCCCTGCTCCCTGTACCAGTCTGTGCTTGCACCAGGCACACCAGCAGAGCACCACCACGATCCCTGAGGACATGCCCTAGCTTCTGAGCATGCAGTCGCCAGCCCCCACACGAGGTGGCAACGTCTCGGCCTGAGCTCACCTCTGAAGCGATCTGGGTATAAGATTATGTGCAAAGGGAAGCAGCGCTGAGCCTCAGACTCCTCTGAAAGCTCGACAGCTCCCGAGCCCCTCACCACCACTCACAGAAGCCCCAGATGTGACCTCTGCAGGGAGCTGAGCGAGCCAGCCAGAAGCACCCTCCAGGTACTCATTTTCATGTGTTGCGGGCCAGGACCTGTGCAAATCATGGAAACTGAGGCACAGTTGGAGGCAGCACCTTTGGCCAGACAACCCAGCCACTGGGTGGGCAGGCTGATGAGGAGACGGAGGACACTCGCTCAGACCAGAAAGGAGAGGCACTCGAGAGTCCCCAGGTCCTGTGAACAGGGAGCCAAAGCCCTGCCTGGAGTTCGGCCTCCTTTCTCACCTGGGGGGACCTGGCTCTGAGCTCCCTGAGCACCCGGTTCTGCTTGTCAGACCAGGGGCCCAGCCCCCTGCACACCCTGAGAACACTCTTAAGCTCCTGAGGGCGGAGTCTCTCTCTGAATGCCTAAGGTGTAACACTGTACCCAGAACATACATGTGTCGGGCACAAAGAGACATTCTGGGCAGCTGGGAAGGAGTCACCAGGCTGGGCTGGGAGCTGCGTCCCAAGCATGAAGACTGGCTGCAGGATGGCGAGTAGGGCCGGTCAGAACCCTCCGCCCTCAGTATCTGACTGTCCTTGATATTTAATCAGGTTCCTGTCCTTCATGGTCCCCAGGTGATTTCCAGTCACCTGACCTGCCTTCAGCAAGAATCCTGTGAGGTCACTCAGCCAGAATCTCCCATTACCCTTGATGATTTTCCTCTTAGTGATATTCTATCCACTGACCACCCCCCAACCCACCCCCCTTGCTCTTTGGCTATAAATTCCCAAGCGCCCCTGTTGTATTTGTGGTAGAGCCTGGCTCTACACTGAGGTCTTTTTTCTGTTATTGCAATCGCCCTGAATAAAATTTGTTTTCACTGCTTTAACTACTGTTCAGCTGAGGTTTTCTCTGACAGTGCCTAAGGTCACCATGGCAGGAAGTAGTGGAGGCAGGGCAGTTTCTGATTCCAAAGCCTATGTACTTCACCCATGACACAGGCACAAGGCCAAGGCCACATCCAGGGTCTCTTCACCGGCCCCTCAGCCCCCAGGAGGTAATCACAACAGGCAGCTTTCACTGAGCAACACATTAAGGGCTGGACCCCGAGCTGAGAGCTGAGGGCATCGTAACCTTAACTGTTGATGCAGATGCACTTCAAAGTCGGGGGCTGAGCCTCAGAGCTGCTGTCACCCCATCTCCCCACTTGCCACAGGTGACCTAGTTCCTCCGGAAGGGTTGAACTAGAGGGTTGCTGAGAACTTGTCTCTCTCTGAACTCTGTGACCCCTCCACCCCTCAGCCACCAGCCAGAGGCCTGCAGAGCGGCCAGTGCTCATGAGGCAAGAAGAGGGTTTCCCTGTCCTGCCCCTGCCAGAGGTTTGCTGGTGTGACACCGAGCCAGCGCAGCTTGGCCTTGCAGCAAGCCCTTGCAACTCAGCCTAGAGACAGCAGTGCTGCTTGACTTCTGTTTGTCATTTCCACACCTGCCACCGAGCTGGCCTCTGCAGGGTCCGAGGTGCTCTCCACACTGCCCTGCAAAGGACAGTGACGGCTTCACGGGCACAGAGCGGGACTGGTGTGTCCCTTTCCCCTGATTTAACTGCTAACCTTGTCTGAGCTGCTTAGAGTGGGGAGTAGTGGAGTCACTGACTGTCAACTCGGGCAGAGTCAATGACCTGGAGCAGCCAGCGGGCAAGTGACAAGCCCAAGAAGCCAACCTGGAGTTTTGGGTAGAGCTTAAAGAGGGTTGTTTACATTCGCAGCATCCTGACAAGGGGGGAAGATGGCTGGAGGGTGACGAAGAGGCTATGAAATGATTTTCACTTTGTAGATGGGGAAACTGAGGCTTGGGGAGGTTAAATAAGCTCCCCAGGGCCACATGGCCCGGTGGGGACGGAAGCCAGGTATCTGGACTTGGGCACTCCCAGACAGGAGGAGGAGCCTCAGCTCTCCCCTTGCCCAGGGGCCACTCCCTCATCCAGTTCACCAGTGGCCTGCTGATCCTCGAGTCCCGGCTCAAAGGCCCCTTCCTCCGTCAGTCCTCTCGGTCCCCATCCACACTCTCAT